GGGGGGGGGGGCATTGCTGATAAGGTGGAAAGCAGACAAGCTTTGACTTTCTCACCTTCAAAACAGAGTGCAGGGATTGGTTTGGACGGCAGCGGACTGAGGCCACTCCATCATCAGACTCGTTTCTATTTTTTACTTTCTCGATAAAAACGGTTTCGAGGGCCATTTTCTGGACGCTTCCAGAGGCCAAAAACAACCGCGATAAGCCACATTTTTGGAGTGACAAGGAACAAAGTTGACTACTAACTTGTTTCTGGCAATCTTTTCAGGTACTCCGAACCATAACACACCGCTTGAAAAAAATATTCTGTCTCGTATCTCTTTTCGCCATCACTCACAATAACTCCAACTAATAAGCTGCTTTCCAGAGTCGTGTGTCATTCACATTCCCTCGTTACCTGACAAGGCAATAACCGTGCGCTCCCGCGCATGCGGCGGGTTGAGAGCCGCTCAAACCATAACCCGGATATCACGTCAAGTGATTCATTTCCCACAATTCATCGGCAAAGCAGCAGCCAGTTGCCAAATTTATCTTGTATGTCTCTCGTGAGGACTGCTCCATAATTAAGTGAGCATGCTATATTACACTGGTGCAATGGGGACCAGCCTGAATAATACAAGAAAAAGGAAGAGTCAAACTACGATATTTGGTGCCAATACTACTACTACTACAAAAAAAAAGTGAGCTCTAGTTACAAAGTACAATGCGCTGAACAGGCGTCCAGTCGCCGTGGTGCCTTTGGAGCAATCTGGCCATCTTTCTAGGCCACGGGATGCTAACGGCGGGAATTGGCAGGCCGAGATAGCGGCCGAATGATTTAAGTAGCCGCCCGCTCTGCTGAGCGATGAAACTTTCATGACAACTTCATGAATTAAAGCATGACGGCGGAAAACTTGAAATTTTGTTTCAATGATCGTGATTGTACAGTACGTGATTGCGCTAATGAGCCTCTGGGCCATTTTGTGTTTCCAGTGTGGAGAACATCGTTGGGCGTGAGATTTGCATTTTGTTTGTAATATTTTTGGGGGGTAATATTTTTGCATTTTCCGTCTAACATGAAGATTTACGTCTAGTATTTTCTCCCAAATACAGGTGTATTTTTCTGTTAATATTTTTATTATTTTTGTATTTTCGTAAAGTGTGCACACCCCTCTCATAGCGAGCAAGTGGCTGCGCTCAGAATGAAACAATCATATTCCAACGCATGTGAAATGGGAGTCAGCAGGGATGTGGAGAGATTTTGCATCCGCTGAAGGTGATTATTTGCCTTCCATCTTAGTTTTTCAGTTCTCAAGCTTGTGGCCCATGCAGCCTGCAGCACAGATGGGGCGGACAGAAGGGTAGCGGCGACGGCCCACTTGCTTTCTGGTGAGACGAGGGGGGGTGAAAGAGGGGGCGGGGCTACGCGAGAGCGGGAGAACACCGCAAGCGGCAACGCCGGAGTCACATGTCGGAAGCTAATCTGACAGAGTCTGGTGGGAAAGAAAAACCATCGACAGTGTGTTAATGTGCAAATCTCGAAATTTGTTCTTTGTCAAGATGATGTTTTTTTTGGTGAGCTACTGTACGTATTTTTGGGGGCCGGGGAGTACTTTGGGTAATACCGATTCAGAATTGTTCAAACAGGTAAAGGCCAGCTTCCTAGCTGATGAAAGCACTTTGTGCGATGAGAGGGCGAAACAGGGGGAAAGAAAAGATAAGGCAGCGGTTGCTTTGGCCGGCGCAGAAAGCACACCGTCCGTCTCCGTGGACGCTTTGTTAAAGACAGCGCTTCACATTTCCCTTCTGAAAGAGAAGAGCGTCCGTCGCTCCTTCATCTGCTCTTCATCTGCCTGCCAACGGTGCCAAACTGGATCGCGATGAGTCACGCCAGAGAGGATTTTTAGCCTCACGCCAGAGACAATAACCAGTTCGTGTTCGCTTTCTCCTGGAGCCGAGATTGTCGTCATGGAGGCCTTATCGTGCCGCGACATGCGATTGGTGGGACAACTTTTTTTTTCCCCCCTTGAGACCCTCTGTTGGGACCGGTTTGTTTTTAAGCAGGTTGCCATTCTTCAAATCACATTTTCATGATTTTTTTTTTTTTCATCGGGTATTTTACATTATTTTCGAACATTTTCATTGTTAGATTTTCAGAATATTTGCGCGTTTACACTATTCAGTATCCTGTCAAGAATTTAATTGACGGTAATTCCTTTGATGGGACTCAGAAACCCAAGTCACGGACTCACTGAAGAAAGTGGGCGCATCCACGATAAGCGCAGAAGGACTGAGATGAGATCCTTACCTTCACAGATTCGGTCCAGCCGCTGCCTCTTTACTTTGTGCTTGTCGGTGAGAGACATGGCCTCTAAATAGGACGTCTCGGCAAAACGGGCGGCGGCCGACGGGGTGGCTTCGGGTTTACGACCACTGACAAGGTTCAGATGCCTCTAGTGCACTGTGGGCACTGCTCCCCGGGGCATAACGCCTCGGCACGCACACCTGAAGCAGGGGAGGGAAACAACTGATGAACAAAAAAACTGTTTTGACTGTATTTGTATATTCTAACAATAGTCTTGTCTTAAAACTTATTGGGGTCTTTTTCCCCCCATATTTTCGTGCAACTATTCAACTACTTTTTTGTTTTATTTTCTGACGATTTTATGTTTTTCATCAAATATTTTGGCTTTTTTCGGGGGCATAATTTCTGGTATTATTTTCAAATATTTTGCTAGTAATATTGTTTTTGTCACTCCCTTTACATTATAGTTCCAATAAAGCCCATTCTGACAAGAATGCCAACAAGGAGACGGAAACCCAAGTCTTGCACTCACTGAATGGTTCGCGATCCATCGAGAGAAGACCTGCCGAGTACAGTATTGCAAAGAAAGTTGTTAATCCAAAAAGAGCGCACTCCCTGGAAGAGACGGACAATGTAACAACACATTGAGCCCAGTAGAGGGTAGTTAAAAGCAACTCACAGAGCGGAACTCAATCGAGAGGGAATCAATGCCCGTCTCTTTCCACTTTAACGACTTTAAACAGGAATTCTAGCAGAGTGAAAACGCATCTTATTTGCTAATGGGCGACGGTGCACAAATGCGTTGCTGCTCGAGAGAACACCAGAAAGTGAGGCAAACTGGATTTTTGTTTTTTTTAAATCCCCTTGCTGGCACAAGTACAATGTAAGTGCAGCAAAAAAAAAACACACACACACACACACAAAAAGGATTAATTGTTGCACTAAGAAAACTGCTTGTTCAGTAGCAGAGGCGGCCTTCCTCCCGCCGACTATACACATTTTTGTCTGATGTTCGCAAGCACACAAGAATCAGGAATAAAACATTGGGGGGGAATCGTTGCCTGAGGACTTGAAAGTCCTCTGTGAAAGAAAGTAGTCCAAAAACAGAGCCATCAAATTGTTTACAATGGGGAGGAAGCACTCTCAAGAAATTTAAGGTCGCTCAATAGCAGTTCAAAAAGTCAACACTTTTTTTTGCAACTGACATTTTCTTGCTTTCGATAGGCAGATCGATTGGGAGATATCGACGCCTACCTTTTTTCCGTACGGAACACTTTTAGAATGTAATGTCTCGGAGCCATCAAAAAGCTTCGCCGAGTCTTGAATGGAAAACATTTGTGCATAATTGTATGGAAAACGAGATGTTGGATGAGTGGCCACCGTGGCTGTCCGTCAGCGGGGGAATTGAGGGGTGAAGCGCTGGTTTCAATTAGCCACGAGCCGAAACACTTTGCGGCCTCAGTTAGTCGATTAATGGATTTAGCGGCAGACGGCTACTCGACAAGTGATCGATCGCCATTGTTGCTTGTGGTCCTTTTACTGAGTGCTGGTGAAACGCGCTTGCGGCTCTTTGGTCAGTGGCAAAACCCCACCTGGGCATTTTCAATATTAAAGAATCATCAAACAACTTGGCGGTTGCAAGATGATAAATGCGAAAGGTTTGGTCTGAAGAGGCCAAGAACTACGAGAAGTCGGAAATATATAAGGTCGAAGATGATTGTCCCCTTCATCGCCAGAGTGATGATGGGGGTGGTATCAATTAGCCTGCAGCAGAAATACTTCGCAGCCTCATTAGTCGATTGATGTATTAGCGCTTGACAACTGATTGATCGCCCTTGTTGCTTGCGGTCGCTTAAGTGAGTGCTGGTGAACTGCGCTTTGAGGCTTTGGTTTTTGATTTAAAAAAAAAAAAAAAAGGGAAAAACCGAAGGTTGCACAATTAATTGGTTTTTTTTTTGTTAATTGAAATTTCTTTGGAAATCAAATTTTAATGCGGGGGGTAAAAAAACAAAACAACATTATGGCTAACACCAAGCTGATTTGATGAATTCTAGTTGAGGCCATCCATCTTCGAACCAAGAAGCAAATACTGACTGATCCGAATTAACCGACACTATCCTGTTGCGAAGACAAACTGTCCACGGGAGACGACGCTCAGCGGGCATCGGCGGAGATGGGGGTGGTATCAATTAGACTGCAGCAGAAATACTTCGCAGCCTCATTAGTCGAGTGATGTATTAGCGCTTGACAACTGATTGATCGCCCTTGTTGCTTGCGGTCGCTTAAGTGAGTGCTGGTGAACTGCGCTTTGAGGCTTTGGTTTTGGATTAAAACAAAAAAAAAAAAAAAAAAGGGGGAAAACCTCAGCCTGCACAATTAATAGTTTTTTTTTTTTTGTTAATTGAAATTTCTTTGGAAATCTAATTTTAATGCTGGGGAAAAAAACAAAACAACATTTCGGATTACGGCTAACACCAAGCTGATTTGATGCATTCTAGTTGAGGCCATCCATCTTCGAACCAAGAAGCAAATACTGACTGATCCGAATTAACCGACACTAGCCTGTTGCGAAGACAAACTGTCCACGGGAGACGACGCTCAGCGGGCATCGGCGGATGCGACTGAATTATTCAAAAGGTCACGACCACCTGCTTGCTGTGCGGGGCCGACGCTTACTCGCCGCGAGAGAGGCACAACGCCAAAGGAAGTCATTCGGAGGACTCATCAATTTCACCCTCAAACGCATCCAGAGCTAATTGGCCACAATTAGCTGACATTAAGCCACGAGCGGTAGGTGGCAGGGTTCTTTCCAATAAATCTCACGACGGATGGCGACAGGGAGACAATCGCGGCGATGCACCAATAGCAATACATCTCCACGAGTGTCAGTCAAATGTCCCGTACCTGAGATATACTCCATCTTACGCCCGAGTGATGGATGAGTCCGGAAAATCTATGCAGCCTTCTATTAACATCAACTACAACGAGGCTCATGCAAATAGTCTTCCTGTTTTTTTATTCGAATAAAAGTATCCCTGCACGATACCTTTTTTTATGGCGAGTCTAGTGCAGAAGTGGTTCAAAACAAGTAAACAAATAAAATGGTTTGATAGCATATCAGTGGCGCAGTACAAAAATTACAATGCAAACAAGTTACAATTTAACACTAAAATAAAAAAAGACGCTCAATACAGATGATCAGTGAATCAATTCAACACAGTCCAAGTACTAAAGACAAACTTTCTTACTGTGCAACAAGTTTCTAAATATGTTCTGCAAAGGTTTTCAACAGTTGTCAGAGTAAATTTAAAAAGGGATTTCTCAACCCAGAACCTAAATTGACCAACTTCCGATCTTTTTAACTATCCATTTGGCAAACGTTTACCACTGATGGCAATTTCAGCTGATTTAATATCAACATTTTTGGGCAATTAAATTGGGATGAAATCTGCAACAGCAGCAGCACTGGTGGCGGCGGCAGCAGCGGCGAGCACTTCATTGTTCATCTTGACACTGCACTAATTTGACAGTTTAAAGCTCTCGAAAGATTAAAGTGAAGTCGGATTAGAAGGGGAGATCTTTCACGCGGAGTTGTTCAATGGATTGCGTATTACGCAATAGCAAATGCTTAACACAAAATAACGGTCTAAAAAAAAAAACGGAACACAACTGTGGAATGTTATCAATCAATGGATGACAAATGATCAAGAAAAACAGTGTTATGGGGGGGGGGGGGGGGGGGGGGGGTAAAAAAATCCAAAACAAAACGCTGTGCCCATTTTTTAGTTAGTTTAGTGAGCGAGATGCCTTAACTTGGTCATGACTGTCTCAACCGCTCAAGGTCAGCCCGTGACTTGGCCTCGGATCCTCAAAGTCTTGATTTTGACTGTGTTTCGGTTCCTTCAAGTCTCAGTCTTGACTTTGTAGTCTTGACTCGGTCTCAACCCCTCAACGTTTTAGTCTCGGCTTAGTTCCAAAGTCTTGGTCTTGACTTGGTCTCCACTCTTTCAAATAAATCTGTCAGCACTGTGCCAAAACAAAAAAAGAGGAAACAGGAAGGTGTGGTCACCTGGCAACACCAACCCAGCTCATCTATTAATATCCCATGGCCGGCCGCCTCCTTGTGCACCATAAAGTGTGATTTTCGTGCTCGGAATGAGCTGCGCAATCCGCGTGGGCAGGTAACAACTTGACGCAATTATAATTTGCTGGAAAACCGTGCCAAAAAAACCCTAAAAATAAATAATAATAATCACGCTGCCCACATGCACGACTGGCGGCACCGGGAATGAAAGTTGCATTGAAGAAAAAGATATTGCAGTCCACCGAGCGCTATTTACGTCCAATCAATACGCTTGCAAAGTTCCAGCAGGCGAGGTTATCTGTGCAGCAGAAGCTGGAGCAAAAAAAAAAAAGCCCTAGAGCGTGCCAACTTGTTGAGCGTGGGGAAGGTGTGGCGCTACCCACTGGTACCCCCAACAGCAAGAGCCCAAGGCTCAGCCCGGCTGCTTGGCCACAGCCGAGCTCGCTTTGTGTCCTTCCAGGAAAAGGTGATTCAGAGACTCCCGTTGCAGAAACTGAGGTGCTTCCACTACCACCCCGCCTCCCCCTCCACCGCCCAACCTTACCGGTCCTCCCTGGAATGTGCCCACAAGTTCCCAGCGGGATGGTTGAGAGCGCCTGTGCTGCTGTACACGAGCTTTGTATTGGGAGCGTGCCAATTCAAACAATGTGCCGATAGAGTCCGGAGTACAAGTGGTGAACCGGGTTGCAAAACACGAATGAGGACTCACGCAGCCTGGAATGCTGAAAAGCATAATTGCAGGTGGTTTCAATGTCGGGTTTTTACGACTGAAATTTGGCAGGGCGGAATAACACAATGAGTTCAGAAAGAATTATTTCACTGACAAAGATAATTTGTTCCAGGAAGCTCACATTTGAATCTTGCACGTGACAAATTCCCACCGTTGAATTTAGAAAACAGCATAAAGGGAGTCCATGGTTATGGCGGTTCAGCGAGTTTTTCGAGATGACGAATGGCGTGCAATAAATTAGTTGGCGTGAGAGAATACGGGGTCGCGCCGCGTGAAAAGGCATGCTCAATTTCTGCTGCAATTACTGTTTTTTTATTTGACTCAAGTGTTTTCATGCAATGTTTCTGGCACGCCTTCATAAAGCGATGACCCCCATAAAGGTAGCATTGTTTACTGTCCCAAAGTGCAAAGAATTTGTTCTCCTGAACCCAAGACCCGATTTACACTTCAGGCCCAGTGCGCCGCTAATCCCTTCCACACACGTATTTTCTACAGCCCTTAAACCTGAGATAGGTGAGTAAGTTTTAGTTAGCATCCTGGCACAGCCGGAGCTGGAAATTTGCTCGTCTTTTAAGCCTTAGCCGGCTGCTTCTGAAAGAAGGACCAAGCCTGTGGCACAGCTTTTTAGTGCAACCCCTGCCGATGACTCCGGAGCGCCTCCTCCACCTCATTCTTGTTCTCTCTCTCTCTACCACACGGTCCTATCATCTCAGGCTCGACTAAGACACCGCGCTTCAAGTCACCAGCACTAACAGAGACACACTTGCACTTCTCACTCAATTAATCCTGGCCCAACCCTGCAGCTGGGAGATAAACGGTGTGGAGTCTCACTCAGCTGGCTTTTTCCTGCTCCTTGTTCTCTGCATGTAGAACAGCTCCCCAGAGGATGGCAAGCCCCTCCGCCACCAATCCCAAGCGCTCCTACACGAAAAGATGACGACCAGGACCGGGTCAACACAGCTTTTTTTTTTTTTTTCCTACCTTTTGGCCGTGTCACTGGTGTATAAACAGAGGGAGCAGGCCTGCCAAGCTTCTGAGACAGTATCAGGGTTGTAATGGATGGGAAACCACCTGAAAGTAAAATGCAAGGGCTGAGCTGTGTTTAACATTTGACACCCATCTCTTACGTTCGTGTACATAACAAACAGGAAGCATTTTAGATACGCATATTACGCACCAAAATCTGGATAAATGCCAGGTCTGTCTTTTGCTCAGATACAGCACTTATGCAGGATCCGTGGTCTTGGCTTGATGACTTTATTGTTCGGAATCCGGAACTGATTGCAGTGGGGCGGCACGGCGGCCAAGTGGTTAGCACATGTCGCGCCGACTTGTTACGCAATCGGCCGTTGTGCTTCCCATTCAGAGAAATGTCATTTAAAAAAATATATAAGAAAAATACTTCCTCGAACACAGACCGTTGATAACTGCGACAATTTGGATGCGGTTTTCTTTGACTTCTTGATTGCATCGCATTGGAGAGGTAATGGATCGGGACTCTGTACCGGCAGATACTCGCATACAAGGGACTTGAAGTCAGGTGCAAAAAAAATTTTTTTTTTCAATCCTGAGACAGTATACCACCTCTTGTTAAGCCTCCGATAATGCATCGAAGTTGTCAAATTTCTGGCTGGTCTTCAAGCCCTCCATTGGTACCTTCCACCCCGGGCATCACGCCGAAAACGGAAAGGAACAGCTTAAATGATGATGTTGGCGTTACCGTGACGGCTGTAGGAGTCCATTTCCCGAGGCCATCCGAGCAGAAAGCCTGTCGTAAATCGTGCCATTGAGCCATCTTATCCGGACAGACATGACAATCCTTTTAACGCTTGACACCCCCCCCAGATAATGGTCCCTCCCATCTCGGAGCACTGCACCTGACTCCCTTTCATTTTCGTTTACAGGCGCCACTTCAGGCCGGAGCGGCTTGGATGCCGGTGTTAGAATTACAAGTGAAAAATGACCGTCAGAGTGCACTTGGCCCGACGGATTAACTGCAGAGCGAACAAAAAAGTGCTGATGGGCAACAAAAGAATAAAAACGGCGATTCATCATCGTGACACGGGGATCAAACCCGCGCATTTCTCAAACCGCACCGCTTGAGTTATCGCGTGGCGCCGGCGGGGTGGCAGCTGCAGAGATAAAGATGCCTCAAACTTGGGACTGGTTCCAATGGGGCCACTTCCTCCGCGTCTTAAGAGGGAGCATGTTCGCTCTCCTAAGATCATTTCATCAATTTTTCCTTAAACAAATGCAAAAACCACACCCCTCCCCCTTCAAAACACACCATTGCTGCCGTGCGTTTATGCTGAGACGGCATTTCCGCACGGCCGCGGATATCAGTGTGGAAATTAAATCACTTATTACACACACACAGACACACGTTTTGATCCTCGTTGCAACCCATTTCGGCAGAAAACTAGTTGGGGCTAAATCGCGGCACACGTGAATGATTCTACAGGAACCTTGCTTACTAGCAATAGCGTTAAATTACTGTTGTGGCGCTCTTAGCTCCTCTTCAACCCATCTAGGCAGCAAATGGATGTCTAATATTAGCAAAACTCACACAGCGGCTAAAGCGACCACCCTTAGTTGGCCTCCATTTCAACTTAGTCACCATGCATGTTTTCTCTGATGTAAAAAAAAAAAAAAAAAAGGCTCC